ACCTATAATTGTTTATTTACGTGGAAATTTAACATAATTAAATTCCTAGTGGTTTTGTGGTGATAGCTGTAGTCGTATGCTACGTACTCCAGTACTTTGTTTGTACGTATTAAAAAAGGCAAAGTGGCATACGACTACAGCTATCACCACAAAACCACTAGGAATTTAATTATGTTAAATTTCCACGTAAATAAACAATTATAGGTGTAAGCTTTGTATCACTTTTGTGGACGATAGAGGCATTCAATTGTGTGTAGTTATTATTTAAAATTTCTTGTTTCTTCCTTTTTAGAGCGCGATCTCTCAGTAGTCGTGTTTTAGTTTTAGGACTTCTTTTTATTTAAAGTATTTTGGGGTTATATTGTAAGTTCCAAACATCCCATTAATACCAAAGAATACTAAATGAATGGTGCTCGCGTAATACTGTAGCAGATGTGGAAGATGTACTTAGTTCAAAACGTGAATAAGTAATTATGTTAGTAAAAATGAATATGACAAGTAGATGGTTGGTGTCAGTTTTACCTCTTAAGTAGATGTCCACGTTTCTTTTTCTATTAATGGGCAAGCTCCCTTCAACCCTCCGAGTCGCTGGTTGGTGTTAGTTTTACTTGTAAAGTTGATGACCACGTCTCTTTTTTTAATGAGGGTGGCAAGCCCCCCCTCAACCCCCCGAGTCGCTGGTTGGTGTGAGTTTTACTTTTAAAGTAGGTGACCACGTTTCTTTTTTCTGTGAGGGGGGCAAGCCCCCCTCAATAACCCAAGTAGATGGTTGGTGTGAGTTTTAATTCTAAAATAGATGTCCACGTCTTCAGTATTTTTTTTTTCTATGAGGGGGCCAGCTCCCTTCAACCCCCCGAGTCGCTGGTTGGTGTGAGTTTTACTTCTAAAGTAAATTCCCACGTCTCTTTTTTCAGTGAGGGGGGCAAGCCCCCCTCAACCCCCGAGTAGATGGCTGGTGCAAGTTTTTCTTCTAAAGTAGATGACCACATTTTTTTTTTCTATGAGGAGGGCAAGCCCCCCTCAACCCCCCGAGTCACTGATACAAAATACAAATACAAATACAAATCATTTATTTTCCATAAAATTAATTACAATTAAATAAGCACAGACATATTATAACATGAAGTACAAACAAAAGCATAAACGAAAAATGGTTAGGTACGGTGATGGAAAAAAGGTGTGGGCACAGCGCAATGCTGGTTTTAAGCCCACCCACTGTCAGTGTTAAAACTTAAAATACTAAAGGGTTGACATATTGTACTAAAGGGTTGACATATTGTTAAATTCTAACTTATTTCAATTACATAGAAATGAATAATAATATTGGCAACAATTTCTTAGTAATTACTTACGATACAATATATTTTGGGATACGTATTTGCAATACTGGAACCTACTCTTCATAGGACAATTAATATTTTCATATTCTTTTTGTTGATTTATTAAGTATTTTTTAAGTTTAGTTTTAAATGAAAGGCGTGTCTTAGGAATGCGTATAGGTGGTGGAATATCGTTCCATATTTTGGCGGATGCATAACGAAAGGAGCCTCGTGCTGCAGCGGTGCGACACCGCGGCGCCAGCAGCTGCATGGCGTTGACGGCGCGCTGGCGGCCGCCCGCGCCCTGCAGCCGCAGCCCCGCGGCCAGCCCGGCTGGAGTGTGCGAATGCACCACGTCGTATGTGAAACAAGCGAGGTGCAGACGCCTCCTAGCAGCCATGTCGAGGACACCTAAACTGTTGAGAACGGGGGTGATACGATCACGACGACGCAATTGTTCGCAAAACCTAACACATGAGTTTTGTACTCTCTGAATACGTCGGCTGGTTTTATCTTGTAGACACGGGCCGTACACTATATCGCAATATTCAAATTGAGATAATATTAATGACTCTGTGAGAGTACGTCTTACTTCTTTAGTAAGGTACTCACCGACTTTATATAGTGATTTTAGCTTGTACATCGCCGTTTTTATTTTCATACTGACATGTTTATTAAAGTTCAAACTGGTATCCATATGTAGTCCTAGATTTCTGGCATAATCAACAATTTCTATAGTTTGGCCATTCAACGTAATATTGGGTTGCATGTCAAGTACCTTCCGCACCGCGTTCTTAGTACCAAATATCATAGCAACTGTTTTACCTGCGTTAAGACAGAGCGCATTGTCTCGCGCCCAGTCCCACACGCGCTGGAGCTCCGCATTGACGAGGCGCGCGGCCGCGGCGGTGTCGGCCGGCGCGAACGAGTGCAGCAGCTGCGTGTCGTCCGCGAACATCTCGCAGCGCATGTGTTGCACACAGCGCGGCAGGTCCGCGGTGTACACCGCGTACAACAATGGCGAGATACATGCGCCCTGTGGACACCCACGTGTGACTTTCTTCGGGTCCGAAAATACGCTTTCACCGTCACTATTTAGGCACCTTACAATTTGCTGTCGATCCGATAAATAATTACTTAATAGAAGGATACTATTGTCATCGAGCCCATAATATTTTAGTTTGCTTAGAAGTAACTTTTGTTCTATACAGTCGAAAGCCCTCAAAAAGTCTAACAGTATCAGGATCGATACTAATCCTTGATCAAGAGAAGAAAGAATTTCGTCCGAAACTTGTGCGAGCGTCGTACAGGTACTACGTCCTTTACGGAATCCTGATTGGTTTTCTGGAATTATGTTTAGACCTTCCAAATATGCTGATAACTGTTTAGTCATAGTTTTTTCTAATATTTTAGAAGCTGCTGGTAATATACTTATAGGCCTCAAATCCTTATAATCATTAACCTGGTCCTTTTTTGGTAGAGGAGTTACAATAGCTGTCTTCCAGCTTTGGGGGAAACAACCCTCCAGAAGGCAAGTATTTAAAATATTTAAAAGAGCAGGAACTGTCCGGGGTAACGTCCGGTTAAGCATCTCCATCGATATCCCATCAATTCCCTCGGCATTTGTTTTGATTGTCGTCATCATTTTTAATAGTTCAGTCTCATCGATTACTTAGTTTTTGTTTGACTGACCCGATGGCGTAGTGGTTAGTACCCCTGCCTGCCACGCCGAGGGTCGTGGGTTCGATCCCCACTGACACAAATGTTTGTGAAGCAATTTTCAAATATTTGTGTTTAGTCTGGGTGTTTTCTTGTATATTATGTATGTTTTTACAAAAAAAAGTATATATGTATTTATATTAGCTATCTAGTTCCCATAGCACAAGCTTTGCTTAGTTTGGGGCTAGATGGCGCTGTGTGAAATGTCCAGGATATTTATTTATTTATTTATTATTAGTTTAAATGAGAATTTTTCATTATTTAAATTACTATAGCAATTATTATTATAATATTGAATCAATGAACTCTGAACTTGGGAAGTATTAGGTAAAGTTAGGAATTGCTCATTAATTTTATTAGCGTCATTTAAATGCTGAGGAATTTCCGAGATATTTTCTTAAGTAGCTATACACTTACTAACTCCTCTCCACATTAACTTAGGGTTACGTACGAGATTATTAATTTCATTGGTAAACGAGGCCTGCTTCTCATTGCGAACCATGGTTGTGACGTAATTACGCAAGTCCCGGTAATAATCGTGCGGCGCGGTATCGGGCGGCGCGGCGGCGGCGCGCACGCCGGCCCGCTCGCGCAGCACCATCGCCCGGCGCACCGTGTCGGTGAGCCATGGGCGCAACGCACCACGACATCTTTGCATCACTCGCGGCGCATGACAGTCCCACAACTGTAAAACCATGATTTCAAATAGTTTCAGTTTTTGATCTATACAACCTATGTAAATTATATTTTCCCAAGGAATACTAACGAGATCTTTTTTAAATAAATCATTATCAATATCATTGAGTTTACGATAAATTCTTATTTTTGGTAAAGGCTTACTTATAGGTATATTAAACTTAGATATAACGAAACCGTGGTCACTAATATCCCGATTATGACGTACCTTTACATTCTTACATAAAGCATGGGCGTTAGTCAATATAATGTCTAATAGCTTACCAGAGGCAATACGAGTTGGCTGTCTAACTATTTGTTGAAGTCCGAACTGATTACAAAAGTCCACCATCCGTGTTTGATTTATCATCATATCAAGATTGAAATCGCTCAAAAAGAATAAATAGTCCGCTGTAGGTAAATAGTCCGTCAACGCCTCGGCCAATGTGTCTAACGAGGAGCCTAAAGCAACATCTCCTGGCCTATATGCAGTACCTACCAATAATACACGTGTGTTTAGCTACGGTGAGACGTATCCAGAGCTGTTCGAGGGGGCCGGGCGCGCGCGCGGGGGCGGCGGGGGGTCCGGGCAGTACGCGTACACGGAGGCGTTCGCTCGCGCACATAGAAGCCCACGCCACCGCCGGTCCGGCCCTGGCGCCCTCTCTGAATCAGCTGATACCCTGAAATTTTGTAGGTAGATACGTTTGTATTATCTGAGATCCAAGTTTCGTTCAAAGCTACCAAATCTAGACCCTCTTCCACAATTGTAGAACAAATATTATCAAATTCCGTGTTTAAACTACGTATATTATAAAGACCAATTGAGAGTTTATGCGTCTTTCCCATAAAGAATAGATTCCACTATTGCTAATTCATGACCTACTTTTGGGTGGCACCCAAAGTAGGTACAACTGTGTATGTGATAATAAATATAATCGTGATAAATAATAGTTAAGGAATGGCGCAAGGTTGTTAATATCAAAAACATTTTAAATAAGAAATACTGTAAATTAATATGAAAATGTAAAATTACAAAGGGGTTATGCCGCAGAGTAGTTAATAACAAAAACATTTTAAATGATAAATGCTGTACATTACTAATATATAAACAATCTATTGGGATTGTAATGCACTCACAGTGCTATATTATTCTCACAAGTGAAAATAAGAAAATAGATAAAATGACATACATCGCTCTGCCACTGAGCTATCGATGCACGGCCGATGAACGCCAAATTATCTATCTCTTGATGCTCGATAGATAATTTGGCGTTCATCGGCCGTGCATCGATAGCTCAGTGGCAGAGCGGTGGGGCGTTTACCCATGCGGCCCGGGTTCGATCCCCGGTGGATGTATGTCATTTTATCTATTTTCTTATTTTCACTTGTGAGAATAATATAGCACTGTGAGTGCATTACAATCCCAATAGATTGATTAACAAGCTTCATCATATGGTTTGAATTCCACTCATAATGTGGACTAACCAGGTAGTAAGTTCTAAATACTTTCTACAGATGTCGCTGGATCGTCGCTTGGAGACGAGCATCAAGAGATAGATAATTTGGCGTTCATCGGCCGTGCATCGATAGCTCAGTGGCAGAGCGGTGGGGCGTTTACCCATGCGGCCCGGGTTCGATCCCCGGTCGATGTATGTCATTTTATCTATTTTCTTATTTTCACTTGTGAGAATAATATAGCACTGTGAGTGCATTACAATCCCAATAGATTGATTAAGCAAGCTTCATCATATGGTTTGAATTCCACTCATAATGTGGACTAACCAGGTAGTAAGTTCTAAATACTTTCTACAGATGTCGCTGGATCGTCGCTTGGAGACGAGCATCAAGAGATAGATAATTTGGCGTTCATCGGCCGTGCATCGATAGCTCAGTGGCAGAGCGGTGGGGTGTTTACCCATGCGGCCCGGGTTCGATCCCCGGTCGATGTATGTCATTTTATCTATTTTCTTATTTTCACTTGTGAATATATAAACACTTACATTGATCCACTATCATTAAATAGCAGGGTGTTTTCATAACTCAAAAAATTATATCATAACTGGTTGGTGTGAGTTTTACTTTTGAAACAGAAGAACACGTTTCTTTTTTATATGAGGGGGGCAAGCCCCCCTCAACCCCCCGAAGAGATAGCTAGTGCGAGTTTTACTTCTAAAGTAGATGACCAAGTTTTTTTTTTGTGAGGGCGGCAAGCCCCCGTCAACCCCCCGAGTCGCTGGTTGGTATGAGTTTTACTTTTAAAGCAGATGACCACGTTTCTTTTTCTATGAGGGGGGCAAGCCCCCCTCAACCCCCCGAGTAGATGGCTGGTGCGAGTTTTACTTCTAAAGTAGATGAACACGTCTCTTTTTTCAGTGAGGGGGGCAAGCCCCCCCTCAACCTCCCGAGTCACTGGTTGGTGTGAGTTTTACTTTTAAAGCAGACGACTACGTTTCTATTTTCTATGAGGGGGGCAAGCCCCCCTCAACCCCCCGAGTAGATGGCTGGTGCGAGTTTTACTTCTAAAGTAGATGACCAAGTTTCTTTTTTCTGTGAGGGAGGCAAGTCCTCCTCAACCCCCCGAGTGGCTGGTTGGTGTGAGTTTTACTTCTATAATAGATGTCCACGTTTCTTTTTTCCCCCAAGTAGATGGTTGGTGCGAGTTTTACTTGTAAAGTAGATGACCACGTTTCTTATTTTCTATGAGAGGGACAAGTCCCCTCAACCCCCCGAGTCTCTGGTTGGTGTGAGCTTTACTTCTAAAGTAGATGACCACGTCTCTTTTTTCAATGAGAGGGGAAAGCCCCCCTCAACCCCCCGAGTAGATGGCTGGTGCGAGTTTTACTTCTAAAGTAGATGACTACGTCTCTTTTTCAGTGAGGGGGGCAAGCCCCCCTCAACCCCCCGAGTCACTGGTTGGTGTGAGTTTTGCTTTTGAAGCAGATGACCACGTTTCTTTTTTCTATGAGGAGGGCAAGCCCCCCTCAACTCCCCGAGTAGATGGCTGGTGCGAGTTTTACTTCGAAAGTAGATGACCAAGTTTCTTTTTTCTGTGAGGGAGGCAAGCCCTCCTCAACCCCCCGAGTGGCTGGTTGGTGTGAGTTTAACTTCTATAATAGATGTCCTCGTTTCTTTTTTCCCCCAAGTAGATGGTTGGTGCGAGTTTTACTCGTAAAGTAGATGATCACGTTTCTTATTTTCTATGAGGGGGACAAGCCCCCTCAACCCCCAAGTCGCTGGTATGTGCGAGTTTTACTTCTAAAGTAGATGTTCAAGTTTATTTTTTCTATGCGTTGGGCAAGCCCCCCTCAACCCCCCGAGTCTTTGATTGGTGCTGAAGTAGATGTCCACGTTTCTTTTTTCTGTGAGGGGAGGCCGAGTAGATGTGTAGCGCTAGTTGTACTTCTTAATTAGTCCGTGTTTCGTTTCTCTTTTTTCATCGTTTTCCCGAGACGAGTCGATGGTTGTGAGTAACAAAAAGTTGTACTCATAGGTAAGTAGATAAAAGATCTTTTACATTAATATCTTCGCTGCGTATACGCACTTAGTAGGTACCTGTACACGCTCCGGTTTGCTATAGATATTGTATGAATCTATGCGTACGTAAGTCAATTAAATCAAATAAATTTGACAAGTCCGAGTCAAATAAATTCAAACATAACGTAATTGTGTTTGTGTGCCAATATGATGGTAGATGGTGGTAGGGCGATACCTTATTTATAATCCAGTAACTTTGTACATTACAGTATGTGTCAAATTCGGTAGTTCTGATTTTTTGCAGACTTGTTTATGATGTTGGTCTAATGAATAAGCCAAGTTTTTGACCTCGAGCGCAGCGCAAGGTTTTGAAATTCGAAATCAGAAAGAAGACTGGAACATTCTCGAATGCCTAGCAGGCATATAAAAGCCGCGTCAGCTGCGAACCTGACAATTCTTGATCAGCCACTGAATACTTCAGCAGGAAACTCAAGAGTACGAATTCTAAGAAGAAAGTCTAATACCATAAATCTGCAACTATGTCTGCTGAAGTCCATAACGTCGAGTTCACCTCGCCGAAGCCGAGCCTGCTCTCGGCCTGCGCCCTACGCTCTACAGCTGCCCTGCGAGTGTCAAGAGGAACCCCTACGTGTGCCACGCGTTACCCTTCAAGGCCTTCTCTCGTACCAGGAGATCTTGTAGCTATTTATAGACAATAAAATCCCCCTCTTTTATCCACTTTCTTTTCATGCCCCGGCCCCTCACTGCGCGTGAAGGTACCAGGCTTGTTAGGGCGCCTACACAAAGGACACTCTACCTACACCTACTCATTCACGCCCCTTAGGGGTCACAGGCACTCGTGCTAGCGAGACCACTCCACCATTCCATACCTAGCTACTAAGTTACACCTGCGGTTACCTCGGTTTCTTGAGTACCGGTGCCTCTTAGAACCTAGGTAACACGACAACACGAGCAATACTAGCACATTCCGTCGGAGGTAATTGGAACTTCATCCCGCTAGAGCTGTTCGAGTGACGACTAAAATATTGAAAAAATTGCGAAGTTCGAAAAATTTAAAAACTTTGAATGGCTAAATCTCGGAAACTATTGGGTATACTGAGACAATTCTAGTATCATATTGTAGCAAATTTAGTCTACTTTAAAATCGATTTAAGAAAGTTTTTTCTAAAACTAATCCTTTAGGGTTATAATCGCCAAAATTTGAAAAAGAATCGATTATTTCGCAGTTTTTACGATTTTTGACAAAGTTGCGTTCGGCGCTCGAGGTCAAAAACTTGGCTTATTCATTAGGCCAACATCATAAACAATTCTGCAAAAAATCAGAACTACCGGATTTGACGCATACTACTCCATACTTTCAGGCGACAAAGTTACTGGGCTATTATAGGGAGTAACGGAAAGGGTATAATAAGCCGAAAGGAGATCAAGGTACTCTTGAAACTGAACTACTTTTCCCCATGGGTCGAAATATGAAAAAAAATTTGGACTTCCCATAGTAAATCAATTAGCTCTTCGGCGATTTTGTATGGGAGGTCAAATTTTTTTTTTTAATATTTTGACCCCTGTTCGATGGGGAAAGTCGTTCAGTTTCATGAGTACCTTGACCTTCTTTCGGTTCTCCCTATATATCTTTTGACTATGTTATCTGATCGATCATCATCTTCCTGCCCTTATCCCAATTACTTGGGGTCGGCGCAACACGTTATGTTGAACACAAAATCGTATTGCAAAGGATTTGGCTCAATTTTACGACCGGCCGCCTACCAGACGTCAACCCTCCTTCGGAATGCTTTTGTAGTGAATTAACCGCCACCATACGGTTGACTCTGGCTGTTTGGGTCGGGTTTATCCCTCGGTCGCCTCTTACGACCCCCACGGGAAGAGAGGGGGTGGTGCTATTCTACTCTGCAGGCACCACACGGCAAATCTTTGTTATCTGATAAAGTATACCTTTTCTAGGAAGAATATATACCTACATTTCTGAATTATGCTATTAAAAGCCCTTTCGTTTGATACCCAATACGATATCACTTGAAGAAAATTAAATTTTAGTTTGTAACTTTATGCAATCTAGAGGGCGCCATAATCAATTTATTGTGACAATATATAGCCTTTAACCATCACCTTGTTTAATTAAACGCTTCTTTTGATACCTCATTTGTCAAATTCTGATAAGTAGTTTGTGAGTTATAAATAAGGGAACAGACGACATTATTCCACATACATACATACATACATATATACCGGTCAAAATCATAACACTCCTTTTTGCTTCGCCGTAGTCGTGTAATAAATTGAGTGTTTTTGTGCCATAACCTTACCTACTAACCTATTCATTAAGTACTAGTTATAATATAAATACCTAAATAATAAGTTTACTTGAAATAAAGTGACTTGTATTTGTGTAGGTACAATATATTTTTCTTACTTTATCAATAGCCCGTCTCGGTAGTCTGACGTCATCACTAAATCGACAGGATCTCTATGGATGAGATTAGGTCAGGCAGGACCATGAGGATAGGTTGATGTGGCCAGACCGGTATAACCAAGAAGCGTGAGTGCGGGGGAACTGCGACGATGGGACGAGATTCAGGCCGGATGCCAGCCACGCTTACCACACTCGACAAGAACATCGCAAAAATGAAAAGTAAAACACGCTAACACATTACCTAACCATTAAAACATCTGTGAAAATGAAAACCAACTGAATTAGGCACTGGCAGCGACTCCCACTTAAAATCTACTTCTATATATCGACGATGATATATGAAAACCTCCTAACTACATAGGATTTCCATTGTAGATAGGAGGTTTTCATATATCATCGTCGATATCATCCGTTTATTGATATGATTGGATGG